CCACTCATTCCTCGCCTAATGGCTCTGTTTCGTGTCTGGACTTGGTGATCACCAACCGACCACGCCTCGTGCGCTCAATTGATCAAGCACCTCCCTTGGGTATGTCTGACCATATACAGATTGTTTGCACTTTATGTTACGCCCCTATTTCGAACTACTTCCCCAACTCTGCCACTGGTCCTCCCTCTTCACTGTATCGCTTCAAACAAGTACCTTCGCACCTTTGGCAATTAATCAACGCTGATTTAGCTGGCTACAACTGGTCCTCTCTGAACTCGTACACTGATGTTAATGACGCACTTCATCACTTTGATTGTGAGCTCCAGTCCGCCTTCCGTCGGCACCTCACTTCATTCGGAGCCACCCACACTGTGACATCTCCACGACCCCGCATGCAATCTCCACCATGGGTTACTGCTGAGCTCAGGTCTGCTGTAAAACGCAAGCGTGATCTATATAGTGTGTACAAAAAATATCGGACAGCAGTAAATCATGCAGCTTATAACCGACAAAGGAATGCTGTAAAGCACCTGTCTCGGCAAGCACATCGTCAATATATACGCTCCATCCAAGCATCACTAACGTCACCGAATCGACCTACACTCTTTCAGTTTGTGCGAGCACAGCGGCACACTTCCGGCCGTGTCATGCCCCAAACGATGATAGCATCCGACGGTACGGTCGCCACGTCCCCCAAGAGCATAGCTGATGTTCTGAACACTCAGTTCACCTCATTTGGGCTACCTGATGATCCTTCGTGGCGCATTCCCCCTTTGTCCCAGTCGCCTTTCATATCTGTTCCGTTCCGTACAATCACTGTCACTACGTTTCAAGTTCGGAAATATCTGAAGCGCCTGAAATGTGGAAAGTCTCCCGGCTCAGATGGGATCCCGAATGAAGTGCTCCAGTCTCTTGCACCATCAATAGCCTATCCTCTCGCCATTATTTTTAATATGTCATTTCGAACTGGTACATTCCCACAGGATTGGAAATCCGCCATCTAATCGTGACACCGCTTTACAAGAATAAAGGCTCCCGTGCTTGCCCGGCAAACTACCGCCCCATCTCTCTGCTGCGCACAGTTTCCAAACTTTGTGAGCGTATTGTATTCGATTCCCTCTACCTGCACATCGCTCCGGCTCTCTCACCAGCTCAGTCGGGATTCTGCCGTGGTGACTCAACTCACTACCAGGTGACTCGACTTGTCCAAGACATAGCGACAAAGAGGAACTGTGGGGAGCACGTGGGAATGGTGTTTTTCGACTTGGCTAAGGCATTCGACACCGTTTGGCATCGTGGCTTACTTGCCAAGTTGAAGGTCACCTTCCGGGCGGAGGATGCTGCCTTGCGTTGGATATCCTCGTATCTGTCTGCTCGTTCTCAGGCTGTTCGCTTGTTCTATTTCTTGTCTGATCCCCTCCCTGTAACGTCTGGAGTGCCCCAAGGTTCCATTCTGGGTCCTTTGTTATTCTTGCTTTACGTTAATGACCTACCTTCAGTTGTCCCCGATGTTAGTTTGTATGCGGATGACACTGGCCTTATCTGTTCTGATTCCTCCCCTGCACAATTACTCCTTACCATGCAGCATCGCATCAACAGCACTGTCATGTGGATGCAAACGTGGAAACTCCAGCCCAATTTAGACAAGACAGAAGCCATGTATATTTCTTCAT